GGGGTATCATCACGCAGCCCTCCGTTGATTCTGCATCTCCGTGTGCTTGAATCCAACAAAGAACCTCAAACCCTCTGTCCGGTGTCTTTTTATTTCTTGTCAGCAACCGCCCAACTCTTTCAATTAGGTACCGGCAGCGATGCTCTTTCCACTCAGGAATGGGAGAGAACGCATGCTGATCACAGAAAATGCCCTAACTTCCCACCATCAAAAGTCCTTTTCAGAATATTTTTTTTCCAAAAGCAACACTGCTGTGTTAAAGTTAATTGATTTTCCTTTCCAACGATACCAGTTTTATGTATGTTTAAGTAAATAAAACACTTTAAATTTTCCAGTATTTTTCATAATTTTTTTGAAAAGCCGCATTATTTATGCTAATTCGAACGCCCCTCCTGAAAGGCGCTGAAACATTGTCCAAGAAAATCGGTTCGGGCGTCACGAACACATGACCAAATGAGCCAACAGTGATATCATATTAATCCTTAAACTATAGGCTTTCTATACATACCCGGTTTGTCAAGGGTTATTTTTTTTAGTTTTTTTGTAAATCATAAAAGTATCAAAACTTTGTCAAATAGCGAACGAATTATAAAAAATAAACCCGACAAAATGGGTATAAAAATAAAGATCAATTTGTTAGCTTTAATATAATACTGGAACCACACTTGCAGAATCAATGTGCGTGACGCCCCACGCATATCAACACACGAACGGACCTCCCCCGAGGCGCCCCTTCCAGCTTTCGCTCTTTCTGTAAGCTAAATGTGGCTATGTGGTGAAGCTAGCTAAAAAGGAATAACCGGAGTTTTAAGCATCCGGTAGTTCTAAGAGCGGATCGAGTGAACCCCTCCTGAGCTTTTTACCGTGTGCACAGTTCTAGCGGGGACCTGTTTTAACAATTTTATTTTAGTGATTTTGCAAACTGAAAAGCGGACGGACCGCCGGGCTGGCTGATCATGACATCTACGCGACCTGCCGGAGCCCCGCACAAAGACTGCGGGAGGAGTTAAAATTTTTACAAAAGAGGAGAAATTAAGCAAACATGGTCCCTTCCCCTCCTCACCTGAACGTGGGGTTATTCATCCTACTCCTCCTTCCTTCCCCATCTTCCACAGGTATGCTTTGTCCTTATTATTTAATAATAATAAAAAAGCGGTTTTTATGGGCCACGGGAATTATGCATGATGATCTGTATTTGTATGGTTTAGGTCTGTGCTGGTTTTGTGCGATTTTTGCAACAAGGACATGAAGCGCGTTAGCAGACGCTCTCAGTGGCGGTTTTTGATATGGGAGGCATGGGCAACCGCCCAGGGCATCATTATGTGGGTGGCGGCATGATGAAGTGACTGTATCTATACTAAAATGATAAATTCTAGACACTTTTTATAATAAACTGTACTTTCTTTGGCACTTTTTCAGATGGTCGATAGTAGGGAATTTCCCATAAAGAAAGAAATCTAAAAAAACAATCTCTATTTTCTGCCAACAATATAGAAAAAACTACTAAAGATAGCCATAAATAAATGTTTTTATATGATGCTGCAGCCTAATTGACATCTAGGAAGGAAGTTTCAATGAAATGCATTAAAAAATAAACATTTTGGTGCAAGTCAAAAATTCTCTAAAATTAGATTTTTTTTAAAAAACAAACAAAAAATCCCTATTTCCTACCAGCAATATCAAGGAAACTATTAATGATGGCCAAAAATGGATGCCTTTATGTTATTCAGCAGCCTAATTTATCTGTAGTAGAGAAGTTTTATTGAAATCTGATGAAAAATACAAGTTTGGGGAGTGGTCAAAAAATACTTAATTTTGTCAATTTTTGAATTTTTTTTCCATCGGTCAAATTAGCTTTGGAAGCAGTTTTGCGGCCTAATAAATCTTTATTGAACCCAGACCCCTACAAAAAATGAGCCTGTTAAGACCACATAGCAGGACGGGCAAAATGGTTTTTGGGGCTTGGTTTCAACTTATATTTTTTAATATCGTATGCCGACTTCTGCTTGAAAAAAGAAAGGGTAAATATTGAAATTTGTTTTATTTTTAAAAATTACATATTTTAAAGAACCTTCATTTTAAAAGTAAGCTATTTATACTGTACATATTCATGTTTTTCAATATGATTTATATATGTTTAAAGGGTGTGATTACAAATAAGTGTCAAATTTATTTATTTTTTAAGTAATTGGCTTTCAAAAACCCCATCTTTTTCTATTCAAAGGTGGGTTTGTGGCAAGGTACACCTACCCCCCAAAATCTCGGAAACCGTTAGAGATAATGGGCTGAATTTTTTTCTGCTCTTTTCTGGTAATGCACTTAATAGAAAAATGCATTCAGAGTACAAAAAATATAAAGAAAAAAAATTGGTTGCCGGTACCTATTTNAAAAAATAACTTTTAGAATGTATTTTTTTTCTGTCAACTTTCATTTAACACTTCAGTCCAGTTGGTGGCAGTAATGCGCTTTCTTAGTCGGTCAAGCAGCCGCCATTAAACTCCAGAGGAAGATTTGCACCCACGCTAACGGGTGCTACTGCGAGACCCAACATGAACGAAAATGCCTGTGCGTTGTGTGAAATAGTGGAAAAAGTACTATTTCACGGAGTTACCTTTTCAGTATCGTTTTGATATTAATCAATGTTTCGGCGGAAAACAACAGATGACACCGCGGCGGTCCAACAGGCCGAACTCACGGTAAGAAAGCTTTTATGAATAGCGAGCACGTGCAGCAAGGCGAGTTGCTTTGTTTGTTTCTTACAGAAAGCGGTCTGTCGTTTTCATATGCCAAAACAAGTGTAGGGAGATATTTCGTATTGTATTTTTTATTACATGTGATGTTCTGAACTCTTAAAACTACTCGCATCTTCTTTTATTTTTTCAGACCTGAAAAATGGCCAAGCCTCCACAGCCAGGCCTCAGACCACGGTGCCGAGGCGCTCTTACGGAGTCCACCAGGACGAAGAGAAATTCAGTAAGTTATGATTTCACATTTAGTCAATAGTGAACACTCGCATATTTGTAAGGAAAACTGATCTAACCGTTATTTTAATTATTTTGTTATAACGCAGTATAGCAAGGCAGAGTGTGGAAAGCAGTAGAGATCTACAAAATGGCGGACGGAGTACGGATATCAGGACGGAGCCATGTATGTATTATTAGGTACCGGCAGCGATGCTCTTTCCACTCAGGAATGGGAGAGAACGCATGCTGATCACAGAAAATGCCCTAACTTCCCACCATCAAAAGTTATTTTGAGAATATTTCTTTTCCAAAAGCAACACTGCTGTGTTAAAGTTAATTGATTTTCCTTTCCAACGATACCAGTTTTATGTATGTTTAAGTAAATAAAACACTTTAAATTTTCCAGTAATTTTCATAATTTTTTTGAAAAGCCGCATTATTTATGCTAATTCGAACGCCCCTCCTGAAAGGCGCTGAAACATTGTCCAAGAAAATCGGTTCGGGCGTCACGAACACATGACCAAATGAGCCAACAGTGATATCATATTAATCCTTAAACTATTGGCTTTCTATACATACCCGGTTTGTCAAGGGTTATTTTTTTAGTTTTTTTGTAAATCATAAAAGTATCAAAACTTTGTCAAATAGCGAACGAATTATAAAAAATAAACCCGACAAAATGGGTATAAAAATAAAGGTTAATTTGTTAGCTTTAATATAATACTGGAACCACACTTGCAGAATCAATGTGCGTGACGCCCCACGCATATCAACACACGAACGGACCTCCCCCGAGGCGCCCCTTCCAGCTTTCGCTCTTTCTGTAAGCTAAATGTGGCTACGTGGTGAAGCTAGCTAAAAACGAATAACCGGAGTTTTAAGCATCCGGTAGTTCTAAGAGCGGATCGAGTGAACCCCTCCTGAGCTTTTTACCGTGTGCACGGTTTAGCGGGGACCTGTTTTAACAATTTTTTTTGTGATTTTGCAAACTGAAAAGCGGACGGACCGCCCGGCTGGCTGATCATGACATTTACCGCGCTATGCCGAGCTCCACCGCATTCTAACGCGACCTGCCGCAGCCCCGCACAAAGATTGTGGGAGGAGTTAAATCTAAAGTTAAAGCTAGTCGAAACTTTTATAAAAGAGGAGAAATTAAGCAAACATGGTCCCTTCCCCTCCTCACCTGATCGTAGGGTTATTCATCCTCTTCTTCCTTCCCCTCTTCCACAGGTATGCTTTGTCATTATTTAATAATAATAAAAAAGCGGATTAGAGCCGCTGTTTTTATGGGCCACGGGAATTATGTATGATGATCTGTATTTGTGTGGTTTAGGTTTGTCCTGATTTTGTGCGATTTGTGCAACAAGGACATGACGCTTCACGTTAGCAGACGTGCTCAGTGGCGGTTTCTGATATGGGAGGCATGGGCAACCGCCCAGGGCATCATTATGTGGGTGGCGGCATGATGAAGTGACTGTATCTATACTAAAATGATACATTCTAGACACTTTTTTATAATAAATTGTACTTTCTTTGGCACTTTTCAGATGGTCGATAGTAGAGAATTTTCCATAAAGAAAGAAATAAAAAAAAACAATCTATTTTCTGCCAATAATATAGAAAAATCTACTAAAGGTAGCCATAAATAAATGTTTTTATATGATGCTGCAGCCTAATTCACATCTACGAAGGAAGTTTCAATGAAATGGATTAAAAAATAAACATTTTGGTGCAAGTCAAACATTCTCTAAAATTAGATTTTTTTAAAAACAAACAAAAAATCCCTATTTCCTACCAGCAATATCAAGGAAACTATTAAAGATGGCCAAAAACGGATGCCTTTATGTTATTCAGCAGCCTAATTTATCTGTAGCAGAGAAGTTTTATTGAAATCTGATGGAAAAATACAAGTTTGGGGAGTGGTCAATAAATACTTAATTTTGTCAATTTTTGAAATTTTTTCCATCGGTCAAATTAGCTTTGGAAGCAGTTTTGCGGCCTAATAAATCTTTATTGAACAGTCCCAGACCCCTACAAAAAATTGAGCCTGTTAAGACCACATAGCAGGACGGGCAAAATAGTTTTTGGGGCTTGGTTTCAACTTATATTTTTTAATATCGTATCCCAAACATGCCACCTCTGCTGTCAGGGTAAATATTGAAATTAGTTTTATTTTTAAAAATGACATATTTTAAAGAACCTTCGTTTTAAACTATTTATACTGTACATATTCATGTTTTTCGATATGATTTATATTTAAAGGATGTCATTACAAAATAAGTGTCAAATTTACTTTTTAAGTAATCGGCTTTCAAAAACCCCATCTTTTTCTACTCAAAGGTGGGTTTGTGGCAAGGTACACCTACCCCCCAAAATCTCGGAAACCATTAGAGATAATGGGCTGAATTTTTTTATGCTCTTTTCTGGTAATGCACTTAATAGAAAAATGAATTCAGAGTACAAAAAATATAAAGAAAAAAATTGGTTGCCGGTACCTAGTATCACTGCGTTGATTCCCGACTCTATAATGGTTGGTTGAGAATAATTTTAACTAATTTACTTGTGTATTTTTGAGAAAGCGATATATTTGCTACAATATTTTTTTAAATTTTACATTTATTTCCACAGACTCCACAGAAAGGGAGTCACATTTGTGTCAATCAGAATCTTCAGGAACGTCCTGATGTCCGTGATGAGGACAGAGATGCAACTGTGTGTGAGTATCTACTATTTTAGAATGTTGATGATATTTTATGCTTCAATATTGTTTATGTACATAATGGAATTATGCTATGTATTGACAATGCACAAAAATGTTTTCCAGCTGTATCCAGGACCTACTGCCAGTCATCTGGATGTAGCTACAGAAAGAAGCAGGTAAGATTTATTACTAATCTAGGGATGTCACAATTCCTTGAATTATTAAAGCACTGTGATTTATTAAAATCCATCCAGGCAAATTATCTGCCTCAAAGTTTGTTGAATTATGTTTTACTATTTATTACCAACTGCTTTTAATTCTTTTTTCTTCCAATTGTTTCCAAGTATTTTCTCTTTTTCATTAAAGTTTTTATTTTTTGTAAGAATTTATTAATATAATGGTTTTTTTTGTTGTTGTTGTTTTGTTTTGTTTTAATGTCTTATGTGTGCATACTAAGCTAAACAATTTCACTGTAGTTTCATAATGACTAAAAGATGCCTGTAGCTCATAATGATTATCTGTTCTGTGTTAACAGCTGATGGAGGAAGGCAGAGAGTACTGGCAGCAGAGGACGTGGCATTCTGGGAGGATGGCAGCTATGAGGGGGTGTCAGGATGGACTGTGGTGAGGTTGAGACCCCACATTCCCCCAACCAGAAGCTCAGTGACGTCGGGCCTACAAGACAGGAAGAGACTTCGGGCCTATGCTACAGGAGAGACGTCG